CTAACATTCATGAGAACGATCTAAGGTCTCAACTATAATCTCTTCATTTTTCAACTAAAAAGTAAAAAAATTCAAATTAGTTGAAAAAGTATTCTCATCCTCAATTTTTCAGTAGCAATGGTTTGCTGAGAACAGGAAAAAATCCTTTGAATAGATACAGCAAAAATAACAAGACAAGTAATCGAGCAAATTCACAGAAAAATGTAAACCGTACCAAGTTAATTTTCTGATGATTATAATGTTGTGCGAAACTCTTGCTCTAATATACCAGGCGTGAGTCACTTTCTCAAGCTATGAATTACTTTTCACAAAGACTCAGCCTCTTTCTGCTTGGAAATTTTACTGTAATTCGTACCAAAGTTAGTCATTTTCCTACCAAGTTGCTATCGTACTATCTGAACTAAGAAAGCCAACTCCAAATAGATGTTGTGAAACAGGTGATAATGACTGTGGTTAATGACAGACGAAAATGACCATTGTTGGTGACTAATATGCGAAAATGATGACGGTTGGTGACAAACAGGCGACAACAACTATGGTTGTTATCGTAAAGGCAACAAAAAACGAAAACGTTACTTGGCATTCATTTGGAGTTGTCAAGCAGTCAACATGGTTACCGTGATTACTATCGGACGAAAAAATAAATTAATTAAATAATCAATGAATAACATTTTTGGAGGAATTAAGAAAGAGTAATAAGATAAAAACTCACCATTAAATTTAATCATGATTTAAAATGAGATCAGGCTGGTGGGTGCTTTTGTTACCACATGCAAGCCTTCAAACCAACTATAAAAAATACGGTAAAAAATACCATATAGCCATATTCTATCACAAGATAATTCCAAGATGACAAAAATGAAATCTACTATACGCGAAGTGAAAAGCAGGCGCGACTGTCGATCGTGAATGTCTGACTGAAAATAAAGTCCAACGAACTGGAAACGAACTTCCAGTGAATACAATTAAGCTATTGACCGATGGTTCTTCAAAGCCATCGACTTCCTACTGGGTCATTAAAATGAGATCAAGATAAGCAGGCTTCCCCGGGACTATATAAGGAGGAGGTGACAGGGTTAAAGGATTTTGTTCCCGATGCCGGGGATTTTTTTTTCAAACTCGGAGCTTTTCCCAATGCCGAAGGTTTTTTCAATAGATTTTGTTCCCGATGCTTGGGATTTTTTTTTTAATCCGAGCCTTTCCAAAGGTTGAAGGGTTTTCCGATGCTTAAGCAATTTCTTTTGTTGCTCACATTAATTTTCTTTCTCGATTCTATCAGCAGCAAATTGGGAACACGGATTTTCTGTATCGGAGCCACATGAGGCATTTAAACTTTGATACCGAAAGCCGAACCTCGCAAGAAAATTGTCGGCCGTGGCCGTTAGGCACAGTACTTTCATTAATGACTCGATAGAAGCTCGCTAAATTACTTTCCACTATCTAAGCGATTGCTAGCTGCATGTAAGCTTAAAATTTAAACAATTATGAGTTATGCGTTTGTGCCATAGAACTTGGGCAATGCTTATGCCCACTTCTGAAGTTAGTTATGGCGTTACAAATTTTTAATTGAAGAAAATTAGGTATATCATTTGTAATATTAATGGCCTTCCTTCTGAATTATTCATATATTGTGAAAATAGAACACACATTGAAAGATGCTACATTCTTGAATATTTTAATGATCCTTGCCTTTTTTATGGCGGTCCTATACTGGGTTTTCACGTCTGTAATTACGGACAATAATTACCTGGCAAAGTTTTATTGCCCTAGTAACGATAAGTTGTCTACCCCCCTTAGAACATAAAAAATTTTAGCCTGAAATCCTATAATCTCCCAAAACACGCATATCCCAAATGCTCAAGTTGTTGATAGAAGATGAATTGTGATTGGTCAGAAGCCTGACGTCACGGAAAACGTCGACCAATGGTAAGCCTGGAGCGGGCGTTGATTAATTGGAGGGCGACGATGAATCGTCCAAACAAGCTTTCATAGCGAGAACTGAAAGTGATTTCCGCTGGCCTGGAGAGAGATGCAGCTTTCAGCAACACGTGTCGTTGGAAGAGTTGGCTGAGGATTTGCAAGGCAATATTATTCAATTTAGAACTGTAGCTTGGGCATTAGCGGTTTCCAGAAGCATTTGCTCGCGTTCGGTCGAGGAGTTGAGATTCTAGATTTAAAATAATTTTTCTCATAGATTTTATAAATTCTAATTTTAATCGATGAAATTATTTTAGAATTTTATAATATGCATTTAGTTCGTTATATTTGCGTGCAGGCGGAGAGTCACGCGTATCAAAATTATATCTTTGACTAGATGGCGACCGTGAAAATGCCGATTTTGTCCGTAAGTGTTTATAGTCAGATAACGGAGCGTTTACGTGTTGTAATCGGTCGTAGTGTTCAACCACTTAGATATTGTTGACACTGGTATAGGGTTATTGATGGTGATTACATGTGAGGCAGTGTGTCGGTATTAATGCTGGTTTCAAGGCTGTTGTAGAAAATTTTGAATTTTGTGGTGATATTTTCGTTGCTGGTACAGTCAATTTATCTATGTCGTAGTTTACCCAAGTGATATTAAACTTCTTCTAACCAGACGGGTAAGAAATGGATGCAACTCCAACAAAAATTTTTACAGAAAAATATTCTATCTCTAGATCATCTAAATCACTAGGATTTCGATGTGGCGTATGGAAAAGAATCTAACATTTTTTGTTTTACAAAAATTACTTTCTGTCATCTCATTGAGATTTAAAGCGTCTTCCTGTCGTGCCCTCCTTGCTTTCCTGTATTGTAAAAGAAATTGGCGGAATGAAAGAGTTGCTCTGAGCATGAGCTCCGAAAAATTTGACTGTAAACGACATTTTCTAACATAATCACGAAAGAAAATAAATATGTATGATTGTGCTCGCTGTTATTTTATAGGCTTGGGAGCTGTAGCGCTGCACTTAATCGTAACCTAATTGTCAAACTGCTTTTAAGCTTTTATAAAAATTTCATACAATAAGGACTTCTTCCGAACCATTTGTAGGAATTTTTTCGAGTACTCCTACAAGACAGTTATGAAGATGAACGGTAATGCGACTCGCCATAATCCAATTCTTTTCATACGAAATGCCCGCTTGGCTCGCGATTTGATGGCAACGTCTCGTGTCCTGCGAAGATCAAGAAACGAAATAACCGAGTCTCATTTTTCTTGTCCTGCAAAAGTTTCCAGGCTTTCAAGTTTGTGTCGATGATAAATTATGCAGCCGACTTTGCGGACCTACGAAGCGACATCTTCAGGGCTCACTGTTCGCTAAAGAGAAATGTTGCTCTTGATAAATATTGACAATATCTGTCTATGTGAACATTTTTACGTCGATAAATGGCTTACGATAGATAAATAGATAGCCTCTGAAGCCTAATTTAAAATAAGGTTTTAGATTAATTAGGAATGCTCCAATTTATTGTAGCGTCATTAGTGATGAGCCAACGCTTGATGTGAAGGAAATGTTTCTAAAACGATTCAATTAAGCTTACTATAAAACATAAATTTAATACTTTTACACCCCATATTGTCAACTTGTTTTTAGTTTTCCGAACTTCCGAACTTATAATATGCTAAATTCAAATTCATTCAAATAAACGTTGATAAATAATAATTACTAATTCAATTTCCAAAAATCAAATAAAAAATACGCAACGGAAAGCTTAACACAACGGCCATAGTTCTAGGAATTCTGAGCAAAAGATCAAGTTTTTCCTGCCAAGCTGCACTGCTGCGCTCGCTAGAGCAACACGGCAGTAACCTGAGATTAAGAGCCCTCAAGTTTTGGTAAGAGGTTGGATGAGGGTCGAACCCCTTACTCTACCTGACCCTAGCTCGTGAGAATACACTCAAAGAAACGAGTGAGACTTGGTCCTAATATCAGTGCACGAATATCCCAATGTGTGTGTCATTCTGACCAAGTGTTTCCGGCAAAAGAGCGTTCCAGCACAAAGAGCGAAACCTGCGCCACTATTGGGACAACATAACCCCCTCATCTTTTCTGAGTGTATGGTAAAATGGAGGATAACTTGCCTCTATCGTGTAATAACTTCATTAATTAAAGGAATGCAGTTATTATACGTGGTTTGCGTAGCTGAAAGCGATTTTATTGGGGATATAGTTGAACTCCTATTGTAATACTTTTCACGTATCTTGATGAAATCAAGGCAATTTTTATAAGATACGTAAACTTAAGCGAAAATATAATTAAACTATTGCAATAATGAGATAATGCAAAGAGGGATTTGAAAATTTGCCGGATATTCTAAAAAAAATGTTCCGATTGTTTATTAGCTTTTTAAGTGTTTTGTTATTATAAATGATTAACCATGTACTGTCGTAAACAGCTAGTGACAAATAAAAAGTGTTAAAATTTTATCTTGACAACCATAAATGTTTCTGTAATAACGAGGTTGTGAATAATGCTTTAGGAAATTTGCATTCATCATTTATCTGGAGTATTAAATGAATTATTTAACTTGAATGTCAGGACAGAGTTATTAACGCATCGAGCGCCTATTAAGCTTTGCATCTGAAGTTTGTTGCATGCGGAGAGTACAAATAAAATTTAGTATTATACTATAAAAAGTCACTAATTCCATAACATTATGATACATAATGCGTTGAAACTGAATGGCATGCACGTGGAGTTAATATCAACGTCCATATCCTATAAATAAATCTACGGATATTGAAACCATTATTTAATTAACTCTTTCTCTCTTGCACAAACAGATTTACGTTATCCCTTAAATGCGGATACCAAGTGAAATGAATTTCCAAATTATGTTTTGAAGTTGAAATCCGAACAACGGGATAGTTAATTTGTAGTTATGAAATAATCGCTTAGAAATGCCTCTCTAACAATAGAACAACAACACGATCAGAATAAAAATTGTACTCAACCTATTCAGGAATAACTGCTAGTCCTCAGGAAGGCAATTATTGGCTCCAGCAATGAGTCGTTTACCTTGTATCGATCAGGAGACGAGAACGCCACACCACTCCTCATCACAACTCCACGCAAACTGAATTGAGAGCTGCTGTGAGCCTGTGGTCTGGTCTTCAGTGTACCTCCACCTCCATACATTCATGGAGTGTGACAGCCCCTCCAGCTCCACCTACACCACCGCACTACTACAAAGAGAGCAACATAGTTTATCTGTAGTCTTCAAATTTGAAACAGTTCAACTTATTTTATACATAATTTTTACTGTTTTCGAGTTAAAATATATCCGTACTTATTTACGACACTTGGCTGAAATAACTCTTAATTTAGAGATTATTTTAACATTTTTCGGTACAATGTGAAACGGTAAGTAGCGGAAAATCCAGAATATTGCGTAACTACATGTTTTAATTGCATTTTTTTAATGAGAGAAAGAAATTGAAATTACACAGGTATGATGTGTATAAGAAATCAATGAAGTAAGACTCCGAGGTTGTCAGGGTTCGAAAGATTTAGCATTTCGTTTCCGGGAGCTTCCGGTGATGACAGCAAGCGAGTATTTATGTGAACTATCTGGCAACAAAAGCTGATTTATGAAATATAAAAGTTTGAAAGTATTTCAATTTCAAAAAGAAATATTAGTTGCTGTTGCCAAAAATCAGTGAATGAGGAGATCGTTTCAAAATTAAATTCAAGATTACTTGTTTCAGTTTAATAGGAAAGGTAAATTCTTAGCCTTAGTTTTTAGCGCATTTTCTCATTAATGGAAAAAATGCACTATTGGGCTCTTCATGTCTGTCTGTCTGTCCGTCTGTCCGTGATTTCAAGATTTCGTCGACGAGAAAATGCGCTCTCTCTGTCACTCACTGCAATGAGTACTGAGTTACATTTTTTACATTCAGCTAAAACATACGAGATAATTAATATCTGTAACGGCAGTGATCAAACTGTGAAATTCCTATAAATTTGTTGCCACCAAAAAAATTATTAACGCTTTTTCATTCTAATTCGTCACTCTTTCAATGTAATCTTCCTCTGACTTATTTTTGGAGATGTTCAACCTGAGTGCGCAATTCTATAGCCTGGAATTCTTTCGAACCTTTCCTAATAATTTCGTCGTTGGGTTTTCGCAATTTCGTTAATCATAATTGCAGTAAAAAATACCTATTATATTCATAAGGTTCAAAGATATATCGAGCCTTTTTTTTCAAGAATATTCGTTACGTTCTAATAAACTTGAAGAATCTTCGGGCTAGAAGTTCGGCTGTGATGGGTACTGATGGGTGGAGGGGGTGGGGAGTTCGGGGTGGGCGAGGGGTGGTGGGGTTCAAAGAGAGCAACGCGCGGCCTTGAATCTTGCAGGGTCGATAAAGAGAGCCTTGCTGCTGGTGATGCTGTTGCTACTGCTAGTACTCTTTTCCTGGATATATGTTGTTATCCTTGAGAAACAATATACGGCGCTACAATGCTGTTGTTGTGCGAGGGACTAGGAGTAGGACTAGGAGGCGACAACATCGTCGTTCTTGTAAGTGGGAAGCGAAATAGTGTTACTGATATCTAGTGAAAGATGTTGGCTGAATGTTGACGTTGGTGCACATATACAGGAATGCCCAGATACTCGTCACTGCCACACAATAAATTTATAGCCATATCGTGCATCACTTAGCCTGCACACTGTCCATTCAACTGCGACACACTGCTAATTTTCAATACAATATTGGAAAGCAATAAGACAAGATTCAAATGAGTTAATCTTCATAAATTTGAAATTAGTGTATTGATTATTTATGTTACAAATATCAGTTTTTTTAAATTTCCGATAATTGTAAATTCGCAGGAGTGAGTTTCCGAGACGGTAGCTATGTCATACACTTCCAGGACATATTCATATGCTGCTGATGATATGCCTTATAACTTTATAAGCCATGCTGAATCACTTTAGCACCATGACTTCACTCCACCTGCAGACTAAAGGTTGAGACTTCATAGTAGTAAGTCAATTGACTACCGAAAACAAATAAAAAAATCATTTTAATGAGTCTTACTTATAACACTGACTGCTGACACTCTGGAGTATCTACTTGACCCAATCACTCGGTTGAGTGTTGAGGCCACTTCTCTCCCGAAGTTCTCGTAGGAAGTCTCTTTTTAGCGCATTTTCTCATTTATGGAAAAAATGCACTATTGTGCTCGCCATGTCCGTCTGTCCATGGTCAACCATGCGTCTGTCTGTCTGTCCGTCCGTCCGTCCGTCCGTGACCTCAAGTTTTCGTCGACGAGAAAATGCGCTCTCTGTCACTCACTGCAGTGAGTACTGAGTTATATTTTATTGTTACAAAGAATGCGTTTCAAGTGAGAAGTTTTGGTGCGCTCTAACTTTTCTGTTAGCGGCAAACAATTTCCTGGGAAATTTTCATTACTCTATCTATCACCAAGTGTAATAAAGATATCATGAGCATAGATGCAAATGGATTTTTTTGTTGGTGCATAAAACAGTAAGGGAAATTACGATCGAAAGTATCTTTATTATTCCTTGCTAAAAAGCATGGTGATGTTAAACATGAAACTTGCATTTTTCCAAAGAGTTCGCAAAAAAATAGCAATAATAATGTGCGTAGTTAAGAAGTATTTAGAATATAACTTTTTGTAAGCATTATTTTAACAAATTATATCAGCTTTTGAAACAAACGGTTTTGAGCATCCAGAAGCTCATTGTAAGCTTCTCGTAATTTATTGTCATTATTTGATACCCGCTTCACCTTCACGCTTCACCATTGACATCATGTGTTATAAATAATAGTTTAGTTTACGGTGAAACAAATGCTCGTTTTTTATGATAGATTAATCGAATGTTGAATTATGGGGAGACTAAAATTGTTATTCGCATGGGTTTCGTGAAATCCAATAAAAAAACAACAATAAAAAAATAATAATATTAATAGCGGTTTTAGCGTTCATTAGGCCGTAGGCCTGTCATCGATTCTGAACATCGCAGAACATTCACAGCATTTTGCGGTCTCGAACTCGCAACTCACTGCTACAATTCTGCTATGCAATATAATATAAAGATTATACATTTTTAAACACTTCTACCTCATTCTAAAATGTGCAATCTGTTCTCATGAGAAAAAATTTCTTGCATATAATAATCGTGATTTATGTTCCTTGATCTAAATGCTATAATTAAATTCTATGGATTCGTTATATTTTCAAAATTTTTGCAATTTCAACTCATCAGAGTGTATTCATTAATAGCAAGATCATGGGAGATAAATTTGAAACGATCTCTTAACCTTACACTGTTTTTGGAGAAAATTTAAAGCACTTTTTTTCTTCTTTACAAACTGGTGGATTCACTGGATTTTAAGGATTTCGGACACAATTTTAATTGCTAAAAATATCGTTAACTAGAGAATAAGACCAGATTGCTTTCGACTGAGGATCTAGATCTTTTGAGTTTCCTAGAAATGACTCTTTGATAATCAGCTGCAGAGAACTATAACGAGAAAACTGGATTATGACGTTATTTGAACATGCCCGGGGAAAAACAGGAGTATGGCGTGTTTCGAACATGTCAGAGGAAAACTAGAGTATGGCGTGTTTCGAACTTGTCAAAGGAAAAAACCGGAGTATGGCGTGTTTCGAACATGTCAGAGGAAAAAACTGTAGTATGGCGTGTTTCGAACTTGTCAAAGGAAAAAACCGGAGTATGGCGTGTTTCGAACATGTCAGAGGAAAAAACTGTAGTATGACGTGTTTCGAACATGTCAAAGGAAAAAAACTGGAGTATGGCGTGTTTCGAAAATTTCAAAGGAAAAAAACTGGAGTCTGGAGTATGGCGTGTTTCGAACATGTCAGCGGAAAAAACTGGAGTATATCGTGTTTCGAACATGTCTGAGGAAACACGGGAGTATAGCGTGTTTGGAACCTTCTTGTTCGGGTTAGTGTAACGAAACATAAAATGTAGTACTTATTCTTCTCAAAAATTTTGGAATATAAACTATCCTTGATCCTTATTTTATACACATATTTTCTTGAGAAATTTTTATTTTAATCTGGCTTCCTTTGTTTACACTGTGCGAATTTTTTCCGAATGTATTGCGTTGGCGAGGTGTGTAAGAGAATTAGATTAGAATTTAATTCATTTTTGCCTTACTAGAATTAGGTTTTCGTATTCTAAGTAGTTGCGTTTTTTTCTAATTGTATCCTTGAGTTTTCTTCTATTTGTTTGAAAATTTTCAGTCGGTGGAACTCAGGATGTTAAGCGTCCCACAGGATTTTCCAATGCCTCTAGGAGCTGATTTCCTTCGAAGTCTAAAAGAATTCCCCGTCTTCACCTTCGTTGATCTTGCACCGCTAAAGAAACATTCAGGTAGGTATAGCATTGGTGAGAGCGCGAACAAATCCGCTCGTAAGGGTCATGGAGGTTTAACTAATCGTCGCTTCGATCATGTAGCATGACCCGGAATAGATTACAATTGTATTTTATTCTGCCTTACTAGAAGTCATGCTTTGTACGTGAGTCACTTACACTCCTGCAGGTATGCTCATGATTCACAGCCAAACCCTTTTACAACGACACTACTTAGAAGGTCCCTTCATCGTCCATGATTGATAAGTTCAATGCCTCTCTAATGAGTTTGCTTTGTTATTCGTGTTTGAACCATAAATATCTGTCATGCTGCGTAATTAGACTTTCTTCTAGGAGAATCAGCTGCACTCACCGTAGTGAGGGCCGTTGGGACAATGTACTCATTTAAAATTGTTTAAATAAACATCGCGTTGATTTAATGGGAGACCAAATTAATTATACAATTCGCAATGAATTATATATGTATATATTTAGCATAAGATAATAAATGGAATATCACCAGATGTGGAAATTATGTGCCAGTAAAACTTTAATAGTTGAAGGTCATTTTTTGTCACTGAAATTAAATGATTCTTGGCAATTTAAAAAACGATAGGTATATTAGAATATTCGAAACAATATAATCGATTGAAATAGATCTTGTCATTGCAGACCAACCCGGCAGTTGATCTTCAATTCATTCCAGCCCAGAAATGCGACAGGAAGATCATTGCATAGCCAAACAATGGCACAGAAAAAAATAATGGGCGTAAGTCTCAAGATAAATTGA